GTCTAATTATCAGGATAGTACTGCGGATAGTCGTAGTACTCACTAGTGCGGACGTTAATCCACACCAGGGAGCATCGCATCCACAGTGCATCCCTATAAATATCCACAATTCGTGACCTCCTAGTAGCTGGATTACAGGACGACGCCACCCGTCCCAGTCAATTCCATATTCATAATTAAACATAATTAAATAGAAAACTAGCTAGACGTAGTTTTGTGAGGTTATAAACGAAAACTATTTAAGTTTTCTAACATAGTTTGTTTAAATAAAGGTGCATATGAACACATAGTTCATCACAAGGGTAAAAATGTGTCTTTTCAACCCTCGCTCATCGAAAAGAGTCACTTTATGCCCTAGTGATTAAATTTTTCACAACTAAAAAATTCCTCGGAGAATTCTTGAAAAATTCAACCATAAAGAAAGGTCATATGAATTATTACGGTGAAATAAATAGAAGGGTTGAATGTTAAGTATGCTAACTACATAAAATGTAGAGCGAAAAATTAATCGATGCACGGTGCGGAACACTGTATTATCGGTGCGTCTGCACTCATCGTTTAATGCATCTGTTCTGTATTGCAATTATTGCAGTTTCCTCTAATGTCTCGTTAATCGATTGCAATTAGACCTGAAGGCCTCACGTGTAATTGGAATACATTTTACTTTATGAAAATTAATGTATTCAATTAATAAATTAAACATTGTGATAATCCAGGATTTTGTTTTTTTTTGTGGAAACTGCCTAAAATGAACTACAAGCTCGCATATTGAGAATTTGTAAAAAGGTTTCTTCGATACAAACCATATGTAAACAGTAGGCCTAATTAGATTTAAAAAATGGAAGAAAATGGTTTGAAAGAAAACTGTCTGCAATGAATGAACTAAATTTATAATATGTGATAGAGCAACTCGAAATTCAATGTTTATTTCGTCAAAACATTCAAATTCATAAGATGACATTCTGCTTTTTTGATAAAACAAATAAATAAGACATGCATTTTGGGGAATAACCTTTGAATGGTCATTGAGTTACTTTCACTTTGATTCTGTTGTCAGAAAACCCCCTTTCTTTAAAATCGTATAGCTATTACTCAGCAATTTATTATTTGAAATTAATGTAAATTACATATAATTGAGACACAAAATACAAGATACTATCAATCATCAATTATCAATAATTTAAGATGGGGACGCCACTATGTGCGTATTTTAACCCAAATACCTGTGTGTACTTTGCACCTTTGCAATTTCAAACTGTATAAATCCAGCTAGTAAGCATTTCATTGGTCAAACTTATATTTACATCATTAATGTACTGTAAACAGTGTTACTTTTCTCATTTTTTTAAACTGATTAACATCTACCATTTATGAAATGTTTATAGCTGTACACATGGCTTTAAAATACTAAAGCTATATTACAACTTACGTTGAAAAATATAAAGCAAAGTCGTTCGAGTACTTTTACAATTTTAAAATGAGGCAAATTCTTACTCATTTACATTTTTTACCCCGTAAAGTCGTGATATTTATAATTGTATACATAAATAATGAACTTAACTAAAAAACGTCGGAAGGAGTGTAGAAGATAAGGTAAGAGTTTTAGCCGGGAACATTAAGGGTTGTAAATCTTAAACGTGCGGGCTCGTAGTGTCTTCATTATTACTTTTCTTTTTCACCTCAATTTTTTCAAATTTTCGAGGGTTATCTATATGATATGTATTTTATAAATTCTTATACTTCTTGAGTACAATTTGCAAGAATGTAGTATTTTATTTGTATATTTGTATTACCATAGAATAAAGTAGAGTGAGTAGACCCAGTGTCATAAAGAGTTACATTAAGTGGCATAAAGTGTCTACTCCTGTAATCTATGATATAACGTTTGGTAACTGTTCAGATGTATTGGTGTTATATTTATTAGAAGTTCAGTAAAAAAAAAAAACATTTAAATTCACAATCTAAAAATATTTTTAAGGGAAAACTAGATGGTTAGGATTATCTCCGGTTGCCAAAATTTTTAAGGGACCATAAGTAAAAATATTGATATTTAATTAAAATATTTGATTTTTTTTATCCTAGAAGCAAAAAGGACATTAACATTATACAGGAAGTCCCGGAACTCTCTACCAAAATTTTAGAGCATTGTTCCTGAGTTAGAAACATATGTAAATACCATATTTAAATTGTTTGGAAGTCCTTATTTACTTACGCAGCCGCCATTTTTTTTCCACTTATTAATTTTTTTTCAAAGAATGGTTTAACATACGAAATTGAAACTTTGCACAAACATTTATGACAACAAACAAAGCTAGAAAAAAATTATGAAGATTTTCCAAATTTATAAAACAAAATGGCGGCCATTTAAAATTTTGTTTATTAAATAACTCAAAAACCGTTAATTTTACAAAAATTTTAAATGGCCGCCATTTTGTTTTATGAATTTGGAAAATCTTCATAATTTTTTTCTAGCTTTGTTTGGTTGTCATAAATGTTTGTGCAAAGTTTCCATTTCGTATGTTAAACCATTCTTTGGGAAAAAAATTAATAAGTGAAAAAAACAAAATGGTGGCTGTGTAAGTAAATAAGGACTTCCGGACAATTTAAATATGGTATTTACATATATTTCTAACTCAGGAACAATGCTCTAAAATTTTGGTAAAGAGTTCCGGGACACCCTGTATATACTAGGTGTTTAGGTACAATTTTCACATAAACTTTGTATAAAAAGTAATCGGTTTTCAAATAGATTTGGTTTTTTCCACCTGCTGTTCAGGTTTATGATCAATTGTTTCCAAATGAGGCTATTGCATTTAATATTAACTTAATAAGGTATTTTAATATAAAAATAGTACTACCGTATTCAACTATTTAATTCAACGTAACAATAAAATCACTATAATTTGTTACTATATAAATAACACAATCGTAAATCAAAGCTTTCCAAATTACAAGAGATTATTTTTTTTTAACACGATAAAAAATAATTAGGCTAAGTATAGTCAGATGATTTTACACGGATAAAAAAAATGTTGTTTAAAAGATAACGAGTTTTGGCTGTCGTGATCATTGAAGTGGTTTAAACGTACATGACCAGTTATTGAGTTAAGTTTTACCTTCAGAATTGATTTCAATATATGTATGTAGTATTATTTATTTTAAAAGATTAATAACTTTTGAATAATTTAAGTTGTCGAGTAAACTTAGTCCAGAGCTAACTAGGAATTGAGAATATGAGTTTTTCTGGTACATTTTATTATTAAAATGATTAATAGGCGTACTCAAACTATTTTTAACATGTTGATACATTTCAACAGATTTCGAAAATCTTAAGCTGGGTTTTCCTAGACGCGGAGTCGGCCAGCGGAGAGCGGACAACGGAGAGCGGACTCAGCTTGTCTTAGGTAATTTAATGTTACTGTTTTCCTAGCAGCGGAGCGGAATGCCATGTTAATTTCAATTCCGCTCTCCGTTGTCCGCTCTCCGCTGGCCGACTCCGCGTCTAGGAAAACCCAGCTTTTTACATGACTTTGGATTAGTGAATCTTCATCATACCCTAGGAAATATACAAGCACGTACAAAATTACGTACTTGGGGGATTTTAGTACGTAGGAAAGTCACAAACAAGCAATTGTGTCGTTTGAAAAATAAATGGTCCCAAAATGAGCTCATAAACTTGAAACTACACATGATTTATGGCGGAAAGAAAACTGGAAATTGACTATCCAATTTTAAATTTTAACATTGTTACAAGCTAAACAGGAGCACATAAAAGTCAACCAGTTACACAATATGCAATAAATCATATCGACGAATAGCCACAAAATGGAAATGGGAGTACAAACAAGCTTTGTTACATAAACTGCTTAAAAGTGCAGAGCAACTTTGGTATCTGGACTTGACACGTTCTAGAAAAAATATATTTGCTTCTAAATTGATTTAATTAGTTCATTATTACTACTAGTTGGTTTGATTAGTTTCATTATTTTAATTAGTTTTGCTTTGGAAAAAAATTTAAAATTTACTTTAATGCAGTAGAAATATTTTTTCGCTAATGTCTCACAAATAATTACATTTTGATTAATTTCTAAAATTATAACCATTCTTAACTAGTTAAGAAACTCCTTTTGAACAGATAAAGAATCTAGTGAAAAACTAAGACGCAAAATAACAATATTAGAAGTTAACTTGGAAGAAATGCCAACGAAAATCCTTGATGGAAAAATTAAGTAAACTGGGTATTTCTTCTTCAACTAATTAAATGTAATTGAAGTCGCTTGTTCAGCAAACAATTGGCATTATTTACACAAGTCATCAAAATATCAAGCAAATTAAATAGTCAATTATTAGTCTTAGTTTATAAAATGATAGATAATGCACGCAGAAAAAAAATCTTAACATCAAATTAAACATTATCCTTTACCAATGACTTCAGATTCATCAAGTGTACTTTCAATCGTGATTTAAAAATCTGAAGCTTGTTTGAATTTGAAGTTTATTTCTGGTAACGACTAAATAAATGTCCCCAATTCAATGTATATTTTAGCAAATGCGCTTAACTATTTTGGTACAGTAATATGATCTTTAGCGGGTAATATACAAATGTCCTTCTATTGGGAAGTAGTATTTTTAAAAAAGTTTAAGAACACCCTATGCAATAAAGCTCTACGGAACACACAAACCTTTAATGTCTTTAGCTCATTTTTACTTGTAAATGTTAAGGAAATTGTGGACCTTTTCCGTTAATTCACTGCCACTAATTAATATATTAGGTTAGGTTAGGCTAGATAAAGTAAGGTTAGGCAAGGTTGCGTTAGGTTAGGTTAAGACTATGTTTACTGACCTCTTCCAATCATAACCGAACGTATACTAAATTCTGGTAGTGAATTAACAGAAAAGGTCCGAAAGTGTGTTTAATCTTCTACTAAGCATAGTTTATTTTAACACCTGATGTCTATAAAAAAAATTACAAATAGATGAGATAGATTGAAAAAACTTACACGTATTCTACGCATTGCGGCGACGATTTCCACTCTACTTGTAGGCCTGGGCACGTCTAGGGTACCAATGTACTGAAACAGAAAGTCAAGTTGTACATCAAACAAAATAATCCACAGAATATATAATTTGAATATTTTAAATTTTGGACCTTTCACGTTAATTCACTACTAATAGTCTTTAGAGAAATATATTATTAGCAGTAGAAGCAGTAGTGAATTAAACCTTGGTTAGGTTAGGTTAGTGAGTTTAGTATAGAGTTAGAACAACCTAACCTAACCACATTCCACAAGTGGTAATGAAATAACGTAAAAGGCCCTAAATTTTACCTAATAAGCTTTACCAATTGATTAGTTGTAAAGATTTATTTATAAGATCCATATAAGTAGCGCATTAAAAATAAGTTCCTAGCTTATTCCGTATTAGCAAACGTTTATGCAATCTTGCCTTTAAAATTAATTAACATAGACAAGATACCATTATTTTTTAAGTGGCTCTAACGAAATGCATAAACAATTTGTGAAACATTTATCAAATACAAAACGATTTATCATTCTGCACAAATTGACTTAACTAACAAACTAATTATAAAAATGGATCACCTATGTTTTATTAATTTATAATTTTATAAGTCAATAAAGAAAGCAAATGAATAAAGAAACTTGGCAAGCACTTGCTCGTATGAGTTTCAATGCAATTTACAAAATGGTTTCCTTTTCCGTGTAACATCACTTGTTCATGTTAACAAATGAAACATTTCACGCTGTCTGTCAGATGTCATTTAAGTTTTTCTTCAGAAAATAGAGAATTGTTGTAAATATAAATTAAGATATGTCTTAAATTAAATTGATAAATAACACTTTGGTATAAATTAATTATTTGTGAATGTATTGCTAGTATTGTAACGATTCGCAACTACTACATTTCAACTTCTAGAAAACAATAAATATGGGAGATATTTTAATAAGTAATAATACTTTTACGTTTATCGCATTCGGAATTTTACGTTTCTAAAAACTGAACTGACGAGACGATTAGGTCTGGTACGTATCTTTGGGTCCCGTACATACGACTTTGTAGGAAACCCACTAGTCCGACGCTCTCCGACACGACACCTTCCGCAATTTTAAGGCATTAACCCATTGGTCCGACGGGCTCCGACAGTATAGTAGGCCTCCGACGAGAAATACACCTCCACTCCAACAGTGCCAGTTGCTATGGAGCATGTGATCACATACCGTTCACAAGCAGTAGTTAGGGAGACAAGAGCAAATAATAAAAAAGTCCATAACATTTATGACGATCTCTGTTAGTATGAGAGATTACAATGGTCAAGGACCTTCCTAGACCCACCTTGATAATTCCGGTTACAATTAATTTACTACAGTAAAATTAGCAAAAAGTACAATACAAAACATAAACAATAATACCCCTGCACAGCAAACCTGCCGACTAAGCGAATTTATATTTACCTGAATTGATTTTCAATTAAATGTATTTAATTAACATTAGGTTTTATGAGTACCTATGCTTGCTGCTACAGGGAGGGTAAAAAAGTGTGGTTTTTAGTAAAATATTAATAACTTAGTATAAAATAAAGAAATTTACCAAGTTTGATCAAAATATAGCCTATCCATCAGAAAGCAAACTACGATATTTTACAATATTATCCATAAGAATAACATGGGAATTTTAAAATAACAATTTTTTGAATTATCTGCGTAACCAATAATTGTACAAAATCATCACACACTTGTGATCACATGTTCTATATCCGTTCCACATATTTTGATCACACACAAAGCTAGACAGTGACTAAATCTAGGCCTGGTGCACGCAGAGTGGAGAAATGACGGATCCGACATCCGACAAGAATGCACCAGAGAACAATGTTGTCGTGACGTGTCGGATCGGAAGGTGTCGTGTGTGACTAGTGGGTTACAGTCCGTTTAAAGTCATGCAAAGCAATTTTGTCGGGAGGTGACGAAGACTTGACGGAAGGTGTCGTGTCGGACCAGTGGGTTTCCTGATACGTATTATTGAGTGTCGTACGTATGATTATGTCTCGTACGTATAGGTCTCGAACGAAAACGTATGAGTAAAGGAAATTCCTTCATCAGCAAAAATATACAATAAGGTAAAGTTTTTGTAACCTAATCAGCAAAGATAAACAATAAGAACCAATGTTTACTTTAGCAAAAATTATTATTGTCATAATTTTCACAGTGGTTTTGGTTTCCAAATATCATTTATTAAGTTTCAATAATATTATATTAATACACCACGTGGAAAATATAGATGTTCTGTTAAATCTGGTAATAAAATAAAAATAACTCTAAAAGTGTTACTAATTTTGCTCAATTTAAAAATTAAAATAAGTAAATTTTGAATCCTACAACAATGACACATTTCAGAGAGATAAGTTTGTATTTTGTTTATGAAATGAAAATGGATGACTTTATAAGTTAGCCACGGAAGTTGAATCTCTGAGTCAAAACAATGATTAACGACTTAACGCGAAGTAACCACGAAGGCGGCGCAAACATAGATAAATCTTTGTAGAAAACTGGGGAAAGACGCCGGCGGCCACCTGACTTATGGGATATCACTAGGGCTGCGTCTTTAGGGAACTTTTAGGGATCACTTTGTGTAGTCAAAAATATACTAACTATAACATGTCATTCTTAAATACTTTTTTACCAAGTTTGCGATGGATGCAATTTTTAGGATATGGGACGAGGTATTTAATAGTTTTTCCTGAGTTGAGGTTGAAATATTAAGTTATTGCGGTTTCTTATTATTTTTAAAACACTTCAAAATGAGGTACGACTTAAAGTATGATTTTCATACAAACCCAAGGTCGTGAAAACACCTGTCTTCGAACATAGGGAGATTTTTTGCAATTTTAAAACTTAAACTCGATTAAAGACAACTGTCACTAGCAGTTTTTTTGTTGGACACTCGACAACACGTTTGACAATTGTCACACGAAATCTATGAAATCAAAATTTAACCAAACACACCTTACATAATTGTGTTTATCAATAGGAAACTAGGGTATGAGATCGTTCATTCAAAAAATCTGATTTTAAATTTTTATTACTAAAAATACACAAGAAACTACCCTTGCAAGTTGAAGATTAAACATAACACTGGGAAATTGAAGGTACAAGTATTTTAGTATTCGATAAACGGTTTATAAACGAGCAAAGATGTTTCATGTCAAAACTGTTGTCAAGTTTAAAGTATCTTCTGAGAAAAGTTTAAACGATCAAACTTGACAAGAGTCAGATCCTTTTAAAGAATATGCTTTTTGTTGGCTACTTTGTGATACCAGAACATACTAATAGGAAAAGAAGTTGTAGTGTTTTTATGTGTCAAAATTTATGTGTGGTGGGTAAAAAAGGTTAAATTACACATTCATTTATACTATTCATACCTTATAAAAAGATTCTCATAAAATTTTTTATTAAGGTACAAAACAGGGTTATATAATCAGTATGATGCGTACTTCGAAGTGACTTAATTATTATCAACATTTTACATATTTTTATGGGGTCAGGGGAGCGAGCTGGTCTAGTGGTAGAGCTCGGGGCTTCGGTGCCCGGGGTCCTAGGTTCAAATCCCACCAATCACCAATGGATTTTATATATGCTAACGCTGCAACCCACTAGGTATAGCCTGATGTTTATGTAAAACAGTTTCTTGCTAGAACTAGCGTCCTAGGAGATGAAGGTAGGACATAAAAAAGTAAAATAAAAAATTATGTTAAATTGTATTCAAATACTTCGTTTGATCAGAAAACTATTCAAATTTGAACGTAACAATTAGTTTTGCCCATTTTCTGGCACGAATGAAATGTTGATTGCTGATTGGTTGCATATAAGGTACAAAGGAACTTTAAAAGCAATTAGGTCTCCGGATATTAGATTTCATGGGATCCTAAGAAGAACAAGTGTTCAGAGTATGAAATCAATTAATTAAGTACTCGATATATACTCCGGGTGTACCACGAAAGGGTAGCTATTTTTGAATTGATGTACCAGACATTTCAAACAGTCATAATAAACTCGTTTGTAAAAACCCATTTTCATTTGGTTCTGATTAACCATTTTCCCGCGATATTCATATCCTACTGCAAATCATTTTTACGGTTAATATTATTCAAGACTCAGAGTTTCAAGGTTTTTAAATGTAGAAAAAAATAATCACAGTGAAATTGTTACATCGAATAACAAATAAATATAAATTAGGAAGAATCTTACCGTGTATTTTACTTTACATAACAAGGGAAACAAAGTTTCGGCAACATATCCCAGTGATATTTTTAAACATGTAACCCATGTAAGATGCGAGTGTGTCGATATCAGTGACACCTCATCAACATGTAGTCGGTGAGTTGTCATGCAGCCCGTTGTGCTGAGCATTGCGGATGTCCGATACGTGACAATACAAATAGAACTTGAGTCGCCATGTAGCATACGAGAATCAAAATATTCTTGGTTCAGTAGAATTTATAATCGTCGATATGTAAATATTAGAGTTAAAAATAATTTTACCGTCGTAACGTAAAGTACGTTTTCAGTATCGGTGTTTATTTCTTCATAATACAAAAGGTGGGTAGACATCGTAGATTACTTCATACTTTATAAATTACGGTACAATATTAATCATAACCAGAACATAACAACAACTATGAGTATTACCGTTTTCATAGCTAACATTTCAAAAAACTTTTAAGGTCCAACTGGAAAAACACATTCATTAGCACTAACATTAGCACAAAATAACAATTTAGCCAAATTAGTTGAAAGTTTTTTCTGCCAAGAAAAATTTGTTTAGCCAAATTTAAAGTAAATTCCGTTAAAGTTAAAGGCAAATTTAAGTAGTAAAGTCTTAAAAAAACAATTCAACTTCCGTTTTTGCAATGGTGTTAATACGAAAATGATAAATTTATTCAAAAGGATACGAAAACCCAAATATCTATGTTGCAATTCGATGTCACTGAGGCTTTATAAAACAAATAGAAGCGCTATTAGTGAAGTATTTCCCTGACATTTGGATTAAGAGAGGT